CCATTCATTTCCCAATGAAACTTAACCTCTGTTAAGATTGTGGTTCCTTGGGTACTTTCTCTTTGCTATAGGGCACCACCTAGAGTTTCCTTATATCTTATAGTTACTTTTCCATTATAGTTCATTCTTTATACCAAACTACTTAATCTGTTGTATGGTTTCTGTCTCCTGACTGTACACAGACTGCTACGTATTTCTACAAACAGTGAATGAAGATTTTAATGAAATCTTTAATGATGGTCATGAAGTTTCTCTCTTGTTCCTTGTAATTCTGCACCTTATACATTTTGAGGCTGACATTAGGATTATGCAAGTTTAGGAAGATAGTATAATCCTGGAAAACATTTCCTTTAGCAATATAGTCTCACTTAAATTATGTCTGATATGTTCAATATAATTAGTCATTAGGGAAATGTAAATTTAAAATACAATTAGCTGCAACTCCACACTTGTGAGGAAGCTAAAATTAAAATGAAAAATAACAAGTTTAGCAAACATGTAGAGGAAGTGAAATTTTCATGGGAATATAGGAACATAAAATAATGTAAGCACTTAAAAAAGGGTCTATCAGTTTCTTTTAAAAAGTTAAACATACACCTACAACATGATTCAGACATTCCAATTTATTATTTGCCTAAAAATGGAAAAATAAAATATATATGCATACAAAGACTTATATACAAATAAGCAACCATGTTGGTAATAGGCAAAACTGAGGCACAATACAAATGTCTATCGACAATGAATTAATCAATAAACTGTGGTATTCCCATACAATGAACTACTTCTAAGCAATAAAAAGGGAACATAATATTGATACATGTATAAAAATATATAAATTCAAATAAATATACTGAGTTAAAGTAGGAAAAACAGTAGAACAAGTAGTGGATTGGGGAGGGGTGGCAGAAAACTTTTGGGACCATGGATACATTCATTATTTTGATTGTAGAGACAGTTTTATGGGCATAGGTCAAAACATCAAATTGTGCACTTTACTACATTCAATTTATTGCCTATCAATTATACCTTAGTAAAGCCGTCTTAAAAAAACATGACTACATGTGACTCAATCATCTTATTCCTAGCTATCTACTCACAAGAAATGAAAACGTAGGTTCACACAAAACCTTATATAGAGATGTCTGTAGCAACTTCATTATTAATTTCCAAACCACCCATACATTCTTCATCAACAAACGGAATAAACCATAACCCTCAAAGCAACATTGATAAATTTCACATACATTTTGCTAAAGCGCCAGCAGGAAACCAGATTCCAAAAAGCTACACACTACAGGATTATATGAATATCTGAAAAAAAGCAAAACTACAGAGAAAAAAAGAAATCCGTGGTTTCCAGGGGTGTAGGAGGTGGTGAGAAGTTGTCTATATGGGAATAGCAATGGGAAAATTTTGGTGATGGAACTATTCTGTGTGGAACTGTAGTGGTGGACGTAGAACTCTATGCATTTGTCAAAATGCATAGAAATACACAAAACTAAAAGTGAATTTAACCCTAAAAGTTTTTTACAGGTAATCACAAATGTAGAAACAGCTGTACTCTTCTTCAACCCGGCAAAAGTACAAACGGTAATTAAAATAATAACTAAGCCTGTAACTGAGAATGAAGTGTTAGGGCAATTGACAAAATATATTTTTAAAGCTTCATTAGAAACTAAGGTAACACAAAATAAAACAATGGTTTTATTTACATTTCTTTTCTCATTAAATTAGCAGATTAAAATTTTATGCTCAATGATACAAAATATGATGAATTATATGAAATATGTCTTCATTAAATTCATTAGGAATTTTTAGTATTTAAGAAAATATTTATGATGTGACATATAAAATACATGAGTATATTTACAATATGATATGCAAGCAACTGCAGTTGACTGAGTGTGTGCTGGAGAGATCAGGCATCCTTGACCTGTTTCCCACTCTCAGCTGCTGTTGCCTGAGCAGGGCCATGGCCTCCACAGTCCTTGAAACCCCACCCCCCTGGGTCACTGCCTGTGAGCTGCTGCTGCCACCAGTCATCTCATTTTCCCCACACCCACTATAACAAAGAGGGAGAAATTCTTCAACCCAAATCAGGCTGAGTGGAAGTTCCTCTACATCCTGACCAGTGAAGAACATTTGGGGCAAATCACCAAGTGCCAGAGGGGCCCTGAGGTGGCGTTTTCTTAGAATCGCCTGTTCCCATTCTGGGTCATGGCTTAGTAAATGTTCTGGGAAATGAGACTTTCCATCTCACAGTGATTGTCCATAGAAGAGAAGGCTACAGATGAATGTTAGTGACACGTGTGTTGGTGGCAGCAGCAGAGGCACACTGACCTGTCACCCAGCAGGAGACTGCTTCCTGGACCACTAGTGAGAGAGAGGAAAGGAGGTTTACTCCTGCTCTTCTACCTAGTCTTGTGTGGGTTCCTAGCTGTATTCTTTTTGTTCACAATGTGGGCTATGCTTCAGACGCTGAAAGATAAGGTTCCAAAATACCAGCTTCCTAGTTCAGGACTTAAATTTTCTCCAGAACCAGTGACGGCATTAAAATATGCATTCAGTATGTCTGATTCAGCTTCCTAGAATAGGTATTTTGTAGATTTAATACTTTTCTAAAGCTGTATTAGATGAACAGAAGAATCTCACAATCCATCCTGATGAAGTTCTTTTTGAAAGAAGAGACTAGTTTATAATGCATGTAAATTTCCTGCTACCTTAGTTTAAGCATGCAGTGGTATGGAGCATCCTGATATTTGTGCTTTCAAAGGAAACCCTTGTATTCTTGTAAAAATTAGCAGAGTAATTAGATTAAATCCTCAAGTGGAACCAAGGCTAATGAGTTTAAAAGAAGAACACCAGATAAGTCTGATAACCTCTCACCATGGATTTATAGACTTAAAATATTTAGCACATTGTGGAAAAAAATATGCATGTGTCATATCTATAGCAGTTGTTCTGTCTAAGTAATCTTTGATCATAATGGCTGATACTAGGAAAGAAGCAACACTACAGTGCAGGATTGATGAATCACCCAACGTATAAAACCAAGGTGTTTAAAAGCATAGTGAATGCATAACATGAATAGGATAGCTCCACAGGATAAATGTTGTGTTGTTTGTTTTTATTTTGTGCCAAATGGACTGGACAGTATATAATAGAGTGAAATCACCTTGAAGGAAGTTGGGGTGGTACCTAACACTGGATGTCTTAGTTCATACTGGCTGTTATAACAAAATGCCACAAACTGAGTGGCTTATAAACAATAGGAATTCAGTTCTAGAGGCTAAGAAGTTCAAGATAAAGAAATTGGTAAATTAAGTGGCCTGTACTGACTTCCTAGATCATAGACAGCAGTTGCTCTAACTTCACGTGTCAAAAAGAAGGAATTCTCTGAGGCCACTAATGACGTTCATGAGAGCTCCATCCAAAAGACCTAATGACTTACCAAAGGTTTTACTTCCTCATACCATTAACTTGGTGGTAAGAATTTCAATACATGAATAGGACATAAAATGTTCAGACTATAGCACTACAGGGGGTGGGGGACATAAAAATTCAGCCCACAGCTCTGGGGCAGCATCATAATGTACTTTTAGATTACAGTGTTCATTGTTCTGAAGTAACTGCTTTTGCTTCTTGTTCTATTTTTATGTGGTTTTATTGCCAAGTGTCTAAAGCTTTATATGCTATGTTATGTAACTGTTTTATGGACTTAAAACTAGTTAACTGTCATATTTCGATGTTAACACCATTTTGGTGACAAAATGATAAGAATAAATGGTACCTTGGTAACATCAAGTGATTTTATATGGCTTCATAAAAGGTGATCTCTTGCATCTCTCAAGTTTTGTATGTGAGGAGGAAAAAATAAAATAAAAGTAGATTTGAAAAGTGTTATCTTAAATTCTTATAAAGTTAATTTTACATGCTTAATTAGTCTATGGATCTTTTTAATACAGAGCGTAAACTTTTTGATGTAAAATGTATGAAGAAAAGAATGTTAATGGAATGTTTTTACTGCTAAAGGTAAATCTCACAAATTACTTAGTATATCTTAACCATAAAAGAAACAGCATTTTTAGTTTAGCAAGTATGAATATGCACGTAAATTTTTATCAAACAATTTCCTATTTTATCAAAATATTTTAAATTGTGCAATCATTTGTGAAACACTCTGTATTGATTTTAGTTAGCAAATATAAGAAAATTAACTACAAAACTATAGCAAGTATGACTGAAGAATGCATAATTGTGTATAGGCTTCTTTACAAGTATTTAACAAAGAACATGCATTTATAATTTCAAGCAAACAAATTAACTGTTAAAAACATTGACGGTTAGAAGAAAAAGACAAAGTCTGTGTCTCAAGTTCCCACTTGTCTACTCAATTCAACAAATCTAGTCTTATGAGAGAGAGCTGGGAAGACAGCCTGGAAGTTACATACTGGGTCTTCAGTTTATGAATTGCTGATTTTACCTCTTTGTTTCTCAATGTGTAAATAAGGGGGTTTAATATAGGTGTGAAAACTGTAGAGAATACAGACAGAATGTTATCCACTGGTAAGTTGCTGAAAGGCCAGGCATAGATGAAGATACAGGGCCCAAAGAACAGGGTCACCACAGTAATGTGGGCAGTCAGAGTGCTGCGAGCCTTGGCCATACCTGCTGAGGAATGTCGCCGCACAGTAATCAGAATGACCGTGTAGGAGATCAGCAAAAGAAAAAATGACGTTGCCCCCATAAGACCACTGTCCAAAAGCATCAACACTTCAGGGATATAAGTATCTGTACAGGCAAGTTTGATGACCAAAGTAAGGTCGCAATAATAACTGTCCACTATGTTTGGGCCACAGAAGGGCAAATTTACAGTGAAAGCTAACTGGCTCAGGGAGTGCATAACCCCAATGACCCAAGATCCTACCACTAGGCCTGTACATGTGCACAAGTTCATGATGGTTGCATAATGGAGAGGTTTGCAAATGGCTACATACCTGTCATAGGCCATGGCTACAAGGAGCACCATCTCACCACCAGCAAAGACATGGAGCAAGAATATCTGGGCCATGCAGCCCTCAAAGGAGATAGTCTTGGGTTCATGAAGGAAATCATGGATCATCTTAGGGGTTGCATAAGAGGCAAGAAAAATATCAAAAACAGAAAGGTTACTGAGCATGATGTACATGGGTGTATGCAGGGCAGGTTCCGAAATCACTGTAAAAACAATGAGAAGATTGCCCAGTATAATGGCAATGTACAACAAGTTAAAAAACACAAAGAAGAGATACTGGAGCTCCCAGGAACTGCAGAGTCCCAGCAAAACAAACTCCGGCACCCTAGAATAATTTCCCTTGTCCATGGTCTCAGCCTACAAGAGAAGTACCTACAAAGAGAAACATCAATGGGTTATTATCAAGATCTAGAAAAGTAGACTACAATCCAAAAGTGTTCTTCTCCACATTAATTTAAAATGCTCTAGAGTTATCCCACTAGGAAATGTCTTATCTGTAATTTTGACGTATATATATTCTTCTCTCAATTATCCTTATTAATGAAGAATGGCTATGAGGTACAACCATAGTAAGTCAACAACTCCATTTTATAAATTTGTGCATTAAATCTGAGGCTAAGCAAATAACATATATATACCACAAAAACCTCAATTAAGAAGAGATGCTAATATATCCAGATTATTTGTTCCACCTTCCTTTGCCCTGCTTCTTTTTATATCCACTCAGAATTATCTACAAGCAGCTTCAATTCATAGAGAATCCCCACAAGGCCACATTTACAAGGAAAATACCTATCTTTTCCCCCATATTTTTTACTCTGGTTTTCTCTCCTATTGCCTCTGTCTTTACTCTATAAGCAACACCTGCAACCTGCAGTGATTTTATGGATTAAACCATGAAAACTGCTTAATCCATATTATCTCTGAAGTTATGTGAACTGTTTGGGTTTGAGGTAAATTCCTTTGCAGTTAACCTTATACTGTATGAGAATATGTAAACTGAAATGTACATATGTCAGTACAGAATATCAGTAGATAAGGTGATAATAGCCATAAAATGAAGATTTGAAAAATGCCAGAAATCCTCATAGAGAATGGCACCATATCCTCTACTGAATGCCATTTTTGTCTAGATGTTGCACTGGGCAGGGTTGAACTGAGGTAAGTATAGAATGATATTAGTATGCTTCTGTAGAGTCTCCTCTATTCAATATTTCAGAAAAAGAACCCACAGAACTAAAAGAAACCTCAAATATTACAGACACGGATCTTTAAGTCATTTTCTATCATACCCAAAGTCAAATTTTATGCTCTAGACTAAAATTGATATAATTATTTTGTGGTAGAGTCAAAGGACTTTGCACAAAACTCTAAGTCCAAGTATCATAAGCCATTGCTCCACCTTTCATTCTCCAGTTAAAGGTCTTATTGCTATTTTCCAAAAAGAAAATCTCAAGCAATTGGATCAAGCAAGTTGTTGACATAAATTTTTTTTTTAATAAACGCATACCTCATTCAATTATCTACAGATTTTGAGAAAGTTGAAACAGGTTTTGGCTTCTTTCAGATCAAATGTTCTTGTAGGGGAGCCGCACCAAATGTGCACATACTTTTGAGTTAAGGTGTTATAACTATAATAAATATTGACTTAGGTAAACCTCCTCTTCTCAACACTCTATTTCACCCGTTTCCCGTTTTATCATTTACGTATTTCATTTAGGACTTGGGATTGAACAAGGACCATGGGAGTATGAATGTGTCCCATGATGATTCCTTACCATTAAATATTTGTTGGCTTATTGAACAGGGAAAAAGGCTCAAGTCCAGACAGCCAAACCACTTTCAGCTTTCTTTCAACTCCCAGAGCTCTTTCCCTTGTCTCACTACCAATTACATGCACTATGTCTCTAATAGATTTAGGAAGAGTTTTACGTGGAGAAATTTCTGTAACACTACAGGAAGAACTGAGTTGAATTGAATCTTCAGTGATATTCCACACATCAGTGGGAAGAAACTCAGCAAAGAACAGCTGATGCACTGCAATATGAATGTTAAATGAATTCCTGTTGTAATTTTAAACGTTAAAAATTATTGATAGGATATCCCATACAAACATATTTGTATTCTTAGCATACATTCCACTTAATTATGGTGTGTTATATGGGAATATTATAACTTTGGTCTGATGTGCTAACACTTTACTGAGGATTTTTTCATATAGGTTTCCAATTACAGTAGTTTTAAGTTGTTGGGCGATCCACTTCCTATTTTGGTAGTAAGACAATGATAGGCTCACAAAATTAGTGGGGTTGCTCAGAAAAGTGTTTCTATATCCTAGCATTATCTGTCCTTTGACAGGTTTGGGAAAGGTTGTACATAAACATGAATGTAGCTTGTGAGTTTTATAGGATGATACTTTTGACTTCTTTTAATGTATTCCATGATGATTAGAGCTTTAATTTTCTCCTCCTCAGAAAATTTGACAACATACGATTTCTGAAAAAATTAAAAATTCATGTCAATGAATGTTGTCTTCTGCTTTTACATTATTTAAGTTGCTTAATTTCCTAAACATATAAATTTAGGAGCATTTTTCTAATCTATAATGATTAATTGTACAGTCTCTTTTTAACTTTAATTTTCATCAGTATGGATCTTTTCTCTTTTTTCCTTGTTGTTCTTTTATTTTTGCTTTTCCAAGAGCCATATATTTGGTTTCACAAGGAACTGCACTAGATTATTTGTTTTTTTATTTCAAGAACGTCCGTTATTCTTTAATTGACAAGTAAAAATCTATATATTTTTATTTTACAACGTGATGTTTTTGATGTTTTAATGTTTGTGTACACTGCATAATGACTAAATCAAGCTATTTATCATGGGCATTACCTCACATACTTTAGCATTTGTTTTTTGTGATGAGTACCACTTAAAATCTACTTTCTTAGAAATTTTCAAATATACAAGCTACTGTCATTAACTGTAGTCACCATGAAGTATAATGGATCTCTTGAACATAGTCCTTCTGTCTAGATAAAATTTTATGTTCTTTGACCAACATCTCCCCAATTGTCCCACCCCCAATCCTCTGGTGACTACCATTTTACTTCATGCTACTCTGAGTTCAAATTTTATAGTTCATATATAAGTGAAATCATGCAATGTTTGTCATTTTGTGCCTGCTTTATTTTACTTAACATAATGCCCTCCAGTTTCATCCATGTTTTTTCAAAAGACAATATTTTCTTCTTTTTTAAGGATGAATAGTATTTCATTGTATGTGAAGGGTCTTCAAAAGTTTCATGGAAAATAAATATAAAATGACTATGGATGTATTTCAAAATTTGCACTAAAATAAATTCAAACTAACTTTTTATAACATTTCTGAACAGGATCTAGTTTGAGGCACTAAGAAGGATAAGATATCAATTTGAAAAGAAGTCATATGAGAGCAATAAGAATTCTGCTAAAACTGAAGCAAGAACACACATCAAATTTATAGTGAAGCTGAAATGGAAGAATGGTGAAATAATTGAAACTTTACTAAAAACTTATAGGTACAACACCCCAAAGAAATCAAGTATTTACAAATGGATAACTTGTTTTAAGAAGGAATTAGATGGTGTTGAAGATGATGCACACAATGGCAGACCATCCACATCAATTTGTGAGCAAAAAATTCATCTTGCTCATGCCCCAGTTGAAGAGGACTGATGAGAACTAACAATAGTCAACACTTGTAGACATCTCAACTAGTTCAGCTTACACAATTCCGACTGAAAAATTAAAGTTGAGCAATTGTATTGTCCAATGGGTGTCAAAACCACTGTGCCCAGATCAACTGCAGATGAGAGCAGAGCTTTCAATGGTAATTTTAAACCAGTATATATCAGTAGGTTCCTGCATTACTGTAAAGCAATACCTGAGACTGGGTAATTAATTTTAAAAAGAGGTTTAATTGGCTCATGGTTCTACAGGCTGTACAAACATAGCATAAGCAACTGCTCAGCTTCTAGTAAGAACTTCAGGAAGCTTACAATCATGGCAAAAGGTAAAGGGGAAGCAGGCACATCACATTGTGAGAGCAGAAGCAAGGGGAGCAAGAAGATGCCACACGTGTTTAAACAACCAGTTCTCATGAGAACCGACTAATTACCAAAGGGATGGTGCTAAAGCTATGCATAAGGGATCTGCTCCCATGATCTAAACACCTCCCACCAAGACTACCTCCAACACTGGGGATTACATTTCAACATGAGATGTGGAGGGAAAAATATGTAAACCATATCATTCTACCCCTGGCCCTCCAAATCTCATATCTTTTTCACATCACAAAATAATCATCTCCTACTAACAGTCCCCCAAAGCCTTAACTCGTTCAAACCTCAAATCCAAAATCTTAAGTATCATCTGAGACTCATCTCCTTTCACCTATGAGCCTCTAAAATCAAAACAAGTTATTTACTCCCAAGCTCTAATAATAGTACAAGCATTAGGTAAACATTGCTATTCTGAAAGATAAAAATTGGCCAAAAGAAAAGGGTAATAGGTCCCATACAAATCTGAAAACCAGCAGGACAGTCATTAAATATGAAAGCTCCAAAATAATCTCCTTTGACTCTATTTCCCACATCCAGAACATATTGATGCAAAGGGTGGACTTTTAAGGCCTTGAGAAACTCTGCCTATATAGCTTTGCAGGGTGCAGACCCCATGGCTGCTCTCACAAGTTGGAGTTAAGTGCCTGTGGCTTTTCCAGGCACAGTGTGCAAGCTGCAGGTGAATCAACCATTCTGGGGTCTAGAGGGCAGTGTCCCCCCTCCCACAGCTCCACTAGGCAGTGCCCCAGTGGGGACTCTGTGTGGGGACTCCAACCCCACAGTGCCCCTGAGCATTTCCCCAGTAGAGGTTCCCTGTGAAGTCTCCTCCCTTGTGGCAAGCCTGGGTATAGAGGCTTCCTCATATACTCCATGAAACACAGGTAGAAGCTGCCAAGCCTTTTTCACCCTTGCCACAGTGTCCTTCTGTGTACATGCAGGATTGACACCACGTGGAAGCCACCAAGGATTATGGCTTGCACCCTATGAAGCAGCAGCCCAAGCTGTACCTGGGGCCCATTTAATTGTGGTTGGAGCTGAAGCAGCCAGAATGTGGGAGCAGTGTCTTGAGGCTGAGCAGAGCAGCGCCATCTTGGCCCTGGCCCCTGAAATCGTTCTTTCCTCCTAAGCCTCTGGCCCTATGATAGGAGCGGCTGTCTCCAAGATCTCTGAAATAAATACATTTGGGGCCTTTTTCCCATTGTCTTGAGTATTGGCACTTGGCTGCCTTTCAGTCTTGCTAGTCTCTCTAGCAAGTGAATGCAGCCTGCTTGGATTGGATTCTTTCTCTGCCACATGTCCAGGCTACAAATATCTCAGAGTTTTACACTCTGCTTCCCTTTTAAATACATCTAAATTTAAGTTATTTCTTTTTTCTCATATCTGACCATGGGCTGTTATAAGCAACCGGGCCACATCTTGAATGTTTTGCTGCTTAGAAATTTCTTCCATTAGATACCCTAAGTAATCACTCTTAAGTTAAAACTTCCACAGATACCTAGAACATGAACACAATGCAGACAAGTTCTTTGCTATGGTGTAACATGAGTGACCTTTACTCCAGTTCCCAAAAACTCTCATTTCTATCTGAGACCTGATCAGTGTGGTCTTCACTGTCCGTATTTCTATTAGTATCTTGGTCACAACCATTTAACCAGTCTCTAAGAAGTTCCAAACTTTCCCTCATCTTCCTATCTTCTTCAGAGCCCTCCAAACTTTTTCAACCTTTGCCCATTTCCAGTTCCAAAGCTACTTCCACATTTTCAAGTATCCTTATAGCAACATCCCACTCCTCATTATCAATTTTGTGTTACGTCATTCTTGAATTGCTATAAAGAAATACCTGAGGCTGGGTAATTTATAAAGAAAAGGGGCTTAATTGATCACAGTTCCTTAACTGGCAGGAAGAATGGTGCCAGCATCTGCTTCAGATGAGGGCCTCAGGAAGCTTACAATCATGACAGAGGACAAGTGGGGAGAAAGTGCATCACATGATAAAAACAGGAGCAAGAAAGA